AAGATGTCTGCTTGCCCAGCTCCATGCAGCTCCCCTGTTTTCACAGGTCACTGCTGCCAGCAGCTATTTTTGCACTTACCTCAGGGCGCTGGACATCTGTGCCAAACTGCTCCTTTCCTTTGCAGACTCTGCAACCCAGCGTCCTCTAGGAAAAGTGCAGGGGACATCATCTTTCAGACCCTGCCCTCCTGCAACACAGGGAGAAGGGCCAATCTATTCTCCCTCAAGGATGTTTGTCCACTGATGCTGAGCCACTGTGAGGTCACTGACGGTGGAAGAAGGGAAGTGAGAAGAATCAATTTTGTAAAGTAAAGGAGGAGCAAAGCTACTAATACAAGATCTTTCCATGGAGGCTGCAGAGCTGACTAAATCTAGTGAGTCCTCTTCTGCAAGCAGGTCTTTTCCCAGACCACACAGGTCACAGCACTCAGGAGGTTAACTACATCCAAAAGGCAGCTCATATGTGTCTAGATTAATCAGAGCACAGCTAATATGCTTATCTGCTGATAGCAAGTAAAGGCAATTATCCTCTCCTTGCCCAGGGTGGACACCTATGGGGAGCAGGTGAACCTCAAGGGCTGTACGCCACCAGAACTTTGAGACCAGCTTCTCTAGAGGAAACGAAACTGGCTAAGGCACCACTGTGATGTATCATGGTTCAGAGTGCGAAGGGAAAGGATGGGAACTCCCACCAGTACTTAGTAGAGAGACATATACACGGTCACCCAAATCAAAACTGTGGGTCAGCATTTTCTCCAGATAACAGCTAAAACGTGGAACAAAGGGCTTTTTCTTCTGCACTCTTTGAGGCTTTGTGACTGTGCTGGAGCAGGCAGAAATGCCGTTATTTAAACGGACAGTCTCGCAACTGAAGCTGACTGCTGCTAGTCCAAAACCTCTTTAGATGTTTCCCTGTGAGGGTCAATGAAGTGAAGGTAGAAGGGTGGCTCAGATCCAGCTGACTACTGTGGGTCCTATTCCAAGCCAAGCCATTCCCACATTTTGATATGTTTGATGACAAAAGAGTTGGGAATCACAAAACTGAGGTGCAGGAACTGTTGTTCTCAGCTGTCTCGAACCTAAAGCTGGTGACTACATCCAATATCGATGATTATTTGTAGAAGTGGCAGTAGAGTTTTTTAATAAGTGAAATGCACAGGTCTGTAATCAAACATTTGCATGTAACTTGGCCAAAGTCACTCTTTATTGTCTGGATCTAGACAGATGCTGGATCTAGACAGATGCTGAAGCAGGAGCTTTGAGAACATATTATAATCCCTGTTACACCTAGGAGGGGTCATGTCAGCGCAGAACCTTCCCAGCATTTCCTGGGCCTGTCCTTTCCTAACATGTCACTCCTCCCACCCTACCCAGGTCCCAGGATCCCATTTCAGCCTCCATGGGGTTTTCAGTCCCTACCAGCAACAGGGCTGGTGTCCAGTTCCCCACAGCCCTGCCTGCACTAGGAAGGTGCCTGATGTCCAGGACTGTGTCTGACCCCAGAGTCCCTCACCAGGCCTGATCCTGTCCTTGTCTGCAGACTGATATCCTGGTCTGGCCTGTGTGTGTACACAGGTGAGCTGAGGTTTGTGACAAATTAAAAAGAGGAGAAAAATTCATTGCATTTTGAACAGGTTTTATGTTTTGTGATTTGGTTGTTTGTTTTCTTTTTTTTTTTTTTCCTGTGAGATTAGATGCATCATCTCTGAACTGGTTTTCTGCTGACAGGAAATAGTGAGAGTTAACATGTATTGCTAGGCCTCAGCAGGAGGTGGAAACCCAAACCAGCCAAAACCTGGAGGATCTAAGTAACTATATCTTTAAGAAATGTGAATAAGCAACTCTCAGTTCTCTCACCTCCAAAATCCGGATGGGCTTTGCATATTTGAGAAAGGCATGACAATGTGACATGAATAAATGCAGTACAGTTAGATACTCATGTGGAAAAGTCCTAAGGAAGGGGAGGAAATGGAGCAAACAGTTCAGGAAGAATTATCCTCAGTATGTTTAGAAAAGCTGAATACTGAACCCCTGTAAGGTGCTCTTCCTGGGACTTGTAATGTCATCTACAGTGGCCTCTACACTTTGTCACCTAGCGCCAGGTTAAGTACCACAAAAGGGCATGCAATAAATTGAAAATTACCCTGATCTTGCAAAAATTGCTTTTTGTCTTACATGTTTTAAGTTTGGTTTAAATTACTATATATTTTTTCAAGTTAGTAGGCACATGTTAGTGGTTATAATAATCTATACTTTTCATGCTGGCTGGAAGTGCTCTAAAGAGGCTTTCGATCTGAGCTGGCTCATATTGGTAACACTGCCAAAAAATGTTCTTTGCTACTCTACCAGATATTTCTGTCCATACTGACAGAGCATGTAGAGATGAACAACATGGAACACTACTGAGGTCCTGTTGTTCTTGATGGTCACCTCTTCTAAGGTGAGGCAGCAAAGCTTGCTCTAATTTTGATGGCAAATGTATGAGGGAGGGAGAATCTCTCCCAGCAAGTGTCCTCCTTGTCCACTCCTTTTTTGTGTCTGCGTTGCAGGGAAATGGGTACTCCTTCCAGGTATGCTAAGTGAGCTTGATCATAACTAGAGCAAGGACCTCTGGTGCATAACTTCAGGCTTTTTGTGCTGCTAATCACATAAGAAATAGCAGTATTTGGGGGAGGAGGGCGAACCATGGTCCTTGTGTATTCACTACTGAATGAGGTAACACTGTATTCAGCTTTCCTTGTGTTCATTGATTTTCCTCTGGTATTTCTGCATCCTCCCCCTGACATACACGGCGCGACTGTTTATGAGATGGTAATGAGAGCATATCATCTTCTTAACAACAAGGGAAGGGAATAATGAAGTGAACATGGAAGTGGAAAATCATTAAGTAGAACTTAAAATAATTACAAAACCCATCTTTGAATTGCAAAATGGCCATTTAACATTTGATAGAGATCGGTAGCCTCAAAAGTGGAGTAAGACAAGGACTACTACAATGTGCCGCAGTGTTGCTCTGGCACATACTGAGAGGCTTTTTCTCTGGAGATTGTTAGTGTTACAGTTGTCACAGCTATACAGAGTTTAATCATAGATCTTATTCCCTCTGACTACGTAAGGGAAACAGTCTTGAGAATATCCAGTTACGAATTGGAGGAAAATGTGCTATTGTGCTGCATGCTTACTCTTGCAAAATAAGAGGTGCAGAGATTGGGGGAAATTGTTTTATTGTGAGTTAGAAAGGCTTCAGTATTGGCATTAGTAATATGAAAAGAGTTGGTGAGTATAAAAAGATTCAGTTTACAGACAGGGCCACAAGTTTAGTTTTTGAAGGACATCAGAGCTGGATAAGACAGAGCAGACATACAGTCATCCATCTAATTTGAGGAAATTTTAGGAGACAGTAATTTCAATACTCAGTTCTTTATGCCCCCTATTACTACTTGAAGTAAATGTGTTACAGTCAAGTTCTCTTGCCTTTATAAAATTCTCAGTTAGCACTGGTCTATAAGCCATCCTGCTTCCAGCGAAGCCTTGAACGCCCGGATCCAGATTTGCTGAATTTGATACCTTATTTGCCCTCACTATCTCAAGAATAACTCCTCAGCTAGGAGACCTCAGCAATGAAGAAGAGTTAGAGAGAAATCGCAAGTGAGAGAAAAATATATGTTTATTTTTCTGAAGTCCTTTTACCATAAATATGCGAGAAAGCGTCAAACTGCCCGTATGAAGTTTTAAAGGGTGGGACTCTGTGAATTAATTGAAGATGAAGGGTCACTCAAAATCTTCAAGAGGTTCACTTGCCTTCCCTGTAGTGCAATGAGAGAGAGGAATGAGATGATATTTTCCAGTCACAGATCTTTCACTTCATTGAAATAGCGAAGCTGATTATCTGGTCAACGTCATACATAAACTCTGCAAGTGCAGTTTGTAGATATCAAGTAAAAATGCAGTAGCAATATGATGGTGCTAAACTGGCTTATGGCCATTAAACTTCAAGGTAAATGAATTAGGAACTCCTGCCAGAGACAAAAAAATACATACAGAGTTTTAGCTGACAAGATGTGAATGCTGATATAGTCACCACATTGCAGATAAACAGCTTTGCATCACTTCGTGCTGCAGCCAAAGATTTTATGTACAGAACCTGCTGTGAGTTGACCTGTAACCTGGCAAAAGAGCAGTGAGCAAAAATTGCGATTTTTCTTCCTGGCTTGGCATCAAAATAGAAAAATGGTACTTTCACATCTCTTGAAGACTCAATCTCTGCCAGTTTTTTCTCCATCTTACTGAATCATACTAACAGATTTTACACAAATAGCACTATGTGCCTTATTTAGAGTGTGGTCTGTTTCTGTATGTTAGAGACCTACATGAAGGTCAGTGATTCAGCACAAAGCTTTCATCTTTCTTCATGTCCCGATTTATCCCATTAACATCAAAGAGCCTTTTGCTATGTGAAGGACAGCAAAGGGTTGCAGAGAAAGTAGCCCATTCTGAGGTAAATAAAGTATGTACTGTCTATTATTTCACCCATAGCCTCTGGAAACTTTAGCTTTGGAAGTACCGGGGGAGGAAACATCCGTAATCGAGTGTTTTGCAGCAGCCAGAGGTATTAACTACGGTGAGAGAAGCGGAGGCACGGCTCGGGGCAGTTTGTGCTACCTCACTCTCTCTGAAAGCATTTTATTTTAAAGAATGGAATTCTAACTGCTCGCTTTCTTCTCTGACTCAGAAAAGACCCCCTAAAGATTAACAGCGAGTGTTCTGCCTCACGTCAACTTTAAAGGTTTTTTTTTAATTTAGAAAGAAAAACAAAACTTTCCCTCTCTGGATGTCAGTTCGGTTCCAGGACTCGGGATTTATCGCTTCCTCTCTACCCAAAGTCCACTCTTTTCGCGACTAAACACCGACAGTCGAAAATACACCCTTCAACTGCCCCAGCGTACGCAAAGGGGGCGAGCTCATGGCAGATAAAGTAGATAAAAAACATTTTATCTTGCTCAAAGAAACACAACCCGGATCGCGGAGCGCTGGGAGGTGGTGGGGCGGGGCGCCCAGGAGTCACCAATCAGTGCGCGCCGCGCTTCTATAAATAGGGGAGCTGCCGCTCGGGCCGCCGCTGAGTGTTTCGTAGCTATCATGGCGGAGACTGCTCCTGTTGCCGTGCCTGCTGCTGCCCCGGTCCCTGGCGCCAAAGCTGCGACCAAGAAACCGAAAAAGGCGACGGGTGGCTCTAGAGTCCGGAAGGCCGCGGGCCCCAGCGTTACCGAGCTGATCACCAAGGCCGTGTCCGCCTCCAAGGAACGCTTAGGCTTAGCTGCTTTGGGCTTCACCGCTTTCGCCTTGGCTGGACTCTTAGCTGCTGCCGCCGCCTTCTTGGGCTTGGCAACCTTAATCGCCTTTTTGGGGCTCTTGGCCGCCTTCTTGGCGGAAGCAACCGCAGGCTTCCTCACTTTCTTGGGGCTCTTCTTAGCCGTCACTGCTTTCTTGGGCTTCTTAGCGGCGCTGGCAGGTTTCTTAGCTGCCGGCTTCTTGGGTTTGGCCACAGCTGCTCGCTTTTTCGGAGCTTTTTCTTTCACCTCTCCCGGCTTCTTACTAAGCCGAAAAGAGCCGGAAGCACCGGTGCCCTTAGTCTGCACCAAGGTACCTTTGCTGACAAGGCTCTTGAGCCCCAGCTTGATGCGGCTGTTGTTCTTCTCCACATCGTAGCCGCCGGCGGCCAATGCCTTTTTGAGTGCGGCGAGGGAGAGCCCCTTGCGTTCCTTGGAGGCGGACACGGCCTTGGTGATCAGCTCAGTGACGCTAGGGCCCGCGGGCTTCCGGCCTTTGGAACTACCCGCCGCCTTCTTCACCTTTTTGGCGGTCGCTTTGGCAGCAGCTGCAGGGGCTGCCGGTGCTGCTTCCGCAGCTGGGGCTGGAGCAGTCTCCGACATGGCAACGCTCAGCAAACGACACCACCAAAGCTGCAGGACCAGCGGCGGCGCCCCCATTTATAGCAGCGCGGCGAGCCCTGATTGGTGCGTTGCCTCCAGAGGCCGGCCCCTCCGCCCTGCGATCTGCTTCTCGGTTTGTGTTTCTTCCTCCTCAAAAAAGTGTGTTTTTCGTTAAAAAACCGTGACTGCGGCTCCCCGTTTCTTAGCATTCGTGCTGCGGAGGGAGGGTATTTTGTCTCTCGTTGTTTCTGTTAGCTGGAAGTTCAAATGAGTTTCAGGGAAGCCAATAATCTCCAAGTTTTGCGATTGCACGCAAAGCCAGACAGTGAGATTTTGATTTTCACTTCCAAATTAAAACTCTGATTGTGACTGCACTGTCACAGTGGCAGCGGATTCATGTTCCAGAGAGGGTTTTTCATCAAGATAATGCAAAATGGAGGTAATTGAGAGACATTTTCTTACCGTAAATTAGCTTTGAAAACAAGCAAGTAACACAAAGTAGCCACTCAGCGGTGTTTCTGGGTTAGGAGTTATTTCCCATAAGACGGCTTCATCACTGAAAAATAATGAAACCTTTGGACACGGTGTCCTATTTAGCTCTAATCAGAGCTACTAAGAAGTAAAAGAAAGATAGTTTTCACCAGAAACTTTAATGTGAAAAACTGTTCTCTTGAATCAGTCAGTACCTCGAACATCTCATAGGAACATATAAAAGGTGTTTCACTGTTTCCCTCAGTCTTCTGCATCCTTGTATAAATATTTTGATGAAGCAATTTCCGATTTTTTATCCAAAAGGCTTCTTTTGATTAAAGACAATATGTAAACACATGAAATTCGATGTTGTTATTTTAAGATAGAGTTTATTTTTATGCTTACTTTTACACTATACTGCAGGCATTTTGTTAGACAGAATCTGCTGTTGTGGGTAAAAAAAACAATAATCAAAATATGGTGTGCATGTTTTCTTTCTGAAAAAGAGAGGTAAGGCTCAAGTCATTTCTTTAATAACAAAATAATGTAAATTCAAAATTATGTCCTCAGAAATGCCGAGAAAAAAACAAAGGCATGTTTTTTTCCAACCCATGAGTTTTATAACGTATGACAAACTGAATACACATAAAATGATTTTTTTTTTTTTTCCTTGAGATGAGTTGAAAGTGGAGTGTCATGTTCAGACATATATAGTACAATGCGGGAAAGAGTTTTAAGACCCTGTCAGTGGTGCTGGTTTACCATGACTAGGGTGTACCTGAAGTGTGAAAAACTGCTGAGAGATGCGATAGCACTTCATAGGGGCTTTTGTCTAGAGAAGACAAGCGGCAGAATAACATCATATGCTAGAGTACAAAACCAAAAAATCATGTGAATTTGGAGCTGTCTATACTGATGCTATATTTCACGATGGTTTCACCAGCTAACCCCACTGTGAATTGTGGATTCTGAACCACATTGTCACAAAAGTGAGTCTATTGGGAAGGACACATACCATTGAGAAGAAATTCCTGAGTATTAGTTCTGTAGCATACATATTTCCTTCACATTTTGTATCACACTTTGTCCTATTCACTTGTATCATACTCAGTCCACCTCTAAAGAGCTTTACCTCTAAAGTTTTTGATCCTTTGAAAATGCATTCCTGGCCTCTGTCCTTCCTCTAAACACCTGATATAGCAGCTCCCTCCTGGAGCAGTCTATATGCTTTCCTAAAAGTTCATTTGTTGGTTCTCCAACATTTTGATGGCATATCTTTACTCCTTCATTTTTTTTTTTTTCAATTATAGACTGTTAGTTTTAGGCTCAGCAAAGGAAGAAATGCAAAGAGATCTTGCAAACATTATCAGGTAGAGGAGACGAAGGAGGAAATAATTTTGTAAGTGCCCTTTAATTTCTTTAATTCCTTTAAATTAATGAGCAACCTTATTTAAAAAAAAATCATTACTTATTTCAAATTTTATCTTAAAGAAAAAAGATCTTGAACTTTTCTTTTGATATGAAGTAAAAGACAGAATGACTTCTGTCTCCTATTTTCCCCTGAAAAATAAAATAGTCAAACAAGCAGAACATCTGTTAAAATACAAAGGGTAGAAGGTACTACTCACAGTGGACTGAGATATCAGGATGTGACAGAAATTTTTCAGAATGTCAGTCAATGCAAGGACTCATTTTTCTCCTACTTTGCTATTGGACAAACACTTTCATGAAGGTCCCTCTTTTGAGCCCATGTGACTTGGTGCTCTAAGAATCATAGAATGGTTTGGGTTGGAAGAGACCTTCAAAGATTATCTAGACTAACCCCCTTCTCATAAACAGGGACATCTTTCACTTAGACCAGGTTGCTCAAAGCCCCATACAAGGTGGCCTTGAAAACTTCGACTGATGTCGTCAACAACTTCTCTGGGCAGCCCATTCCAGTGTGTCCCACTACCTTTGTAACAAAAAATTTCTTCCTAAGAACCAATCTAAATCTACCCTCTTTTGATTTATAACATTGTTCCTTATCCTGTCAGTACATGTCCTGTTGTAAAGTCTTTTCTTTCTTATGAACACCCTCCATATGTAGAAACACCGCAATAAGGTCTCACTGCACCCTTTTCTTCTCCAGGCTGAAAACTCCCAATTTTCTCAGCTTTTCCTCATGGGAGAGGTGCTACAGCCCTTTCATCATTTTTCTGGCCCTCCTCTGGACCTTCTCCAACAGGTTCATATCTTTCTTGTACCAGGAATCCCAGAGCTCGATGCAGGTGGGGTCTCATGAGAGCAGAGTAGAAGAGAGTCACCTCCCTTGACCTGCTGGCTATGCTTCTTTTGATGCAGCCCAAGACAGGATTTGCTTTTTTTTTGGGCTGTGAGCACACATTGGCTTATGTCCAATTTTTCATCCACCAGTATCCTCAGATCTTTCTCTGAAGAGCTGCTCTCAACCAGTTCATCCTCCATTATCTCCTGATATTGGGGATGGCACTGACCAAGGTGAAGGACTTTACATTTGGCCTTGTTGAACTTTATGAGGTTCATTTGGGCACACTCCTCAAGCTTGTCAAGGTCCCTCTGGCTGGTATCCCTTCCCTCTGTCAAATCAGACATACCACTCAGCTTGGTGTCATCCATAGACTTGCTATGAATACACTCAGTCTCACTATCTATATCATTGATGAAGGTATTAAATAGTATTAGTCCCTGCACAGACCCATAGGGGACACCACTCATTATCCATTTCCCTTTGGACATTGAGCAATTGTCTATAACTCTTCGGATGTAACTGTCCTGCCAGTTCCTTATCCAACAGTCCAGCCATCAAATCCATACCTCTCATTTCTCACCTCCCTGCCTTCCGTATTTTTTGTCATAGCTTCCAGGAGGATCATACCAAGCACTGAGGTGAGACTGATTGGTCAGTAGTTCCCAATGTCCTCCTTTTTAACTTTTTTTTAATTATAAAGCAGTATCATACAATTTTTAAAAATTGGTGTCATATTCCCTTCTGTCCAGTCACTAGAGATTTCATCTGGCTACCATGACTTCAAATATTATGGAGAGTGGCTTTGCAACTATGGCAGTTCCCTCAAGACCCTGGGATGAACCTCATCACACCCCATGGACTGGAGTATGTTCAGGTTCCTCAGATGGTCTTGAACTTGACCTTTCCTATGATAGGAGGAACTTTGCTCTCTCAGTCCCTGCCTTGAGTTTTAGGGGCTTGAGAGCTGTGGGAAAAAGAAATTACCAGTGAAAACTGAGGCAGAAAAAATGTTGAGTACCGCAGCCTTCCCCATGTCAGTTGTCATTAGATCTCCAGTCTTATTTATTAGGGTGGTACATTTTCTTTAGTCTCCCTTTTCTGATCAACAAACCTGCAGAAGCTCTTCTTACTGTTCTTCACATCCCTTGCCAAATTCATCACCAGATGTGCCTTAGCTTTCTCCATACACATGGACAGAATCCCTGTATTCTTCCCATGGTACATATCCTTGCTTCCACTCCCTGTCCATTTCCTTCTTGCAGTTCAGCCTTATTGGTCTCCTGCATTCCCAGCCTGCTTTTTTATATGTGAGAGTCAAGAGCACTTATTCACTAAGAAAAATATATTAAATAGCTGCCAGCTCTGTTCAGATTCTTTATCCTGGAGGGTAGTTTCCCAGGGGGTCCCATCTTCTGGTTCCTTAGACAACTCAAAGTTCACTCTACTAAAATTCAAGGTCTTGACTTTACAATTTGCCTGGCTCATATTCCTCAAGTTAATGATGGTCCTGGGCCCAGGCTGCAGCTCAGACTGACACTAATCTTGAACTCTCCAATTAGCTCATTTCTGTTGGTGAGCAACAGGACCAGTAGTGCTTTCCCTCTGGCTGGACTGTCTTTCACCTGGACTAAAAAATTAACCTCAACATGGTCTAGGAGTCTCCTGGGTGGCGTACAGCTCACTGTGCTGCTGCTTTTCCAGCAGATATCAGGCTGATTGAAATCCCCCAACAGGAACAAAGCCTCTGAGCATGATACTTTCTGTAGTTGAGGTGAGAAAGATTCATCAATATCCTCTCCTTGATTGGGCGACCTGTAGTAAATACCAACCATGAGGTTTCCTCTAATTTTGAGAGTTTATAGCTTTCAACTCTTCATCATTGTTTTTCAAAGAGAACTTTGCACAAACAGTCAATTTCTTTTTTATGTAGAGGACATCCTCCCTCTTCCCCATCCTTCCATGCTTGTCCCTTCTCAACAGTTTATAGCCATCAATTGCAGAACTCCAGCCTGTCATTCATCCCACCAAGTAAACTATGACAGTGCTGGACTTAGTAAAAGTTTATTTACTCAAGAAGATATGTGGAAGCATCCATCTCACAAATGTAGCTGAAGAGGCAGCACTGCAGCATATGTATGCATATTTCAAACAGGGTGATCAAGATCATGCAGTAAGCCTATAGCTGTAAGTCCCATTAACATGTTTTTTACCTTAGGCTGCCTAAGGCTCTGCAGCATCAATATTTTCTAAAGCAAGTAGCCCCTGTGCTGCTGAGCAT